GACCTCAAAGTCGTTGATCCTCAACTTTATCACAAGTGCGTCATCGTGCGGGTAGTGGACCCCCCGCGCGTCGTCTTCTGTGAAGAAAATTGGCTCTCCTGTCCTCGGCCGCTTCGGAGGGTTCCGTTCTTCCTGGGCGGCTTCGCGAACTGACGTCCGAGCTGCTGCTGAAGTGCAACCCGCGACGATCGAACCTCCCACTATAACGTGGATGGTTCCCCGAACCGGCCTCTCTTCCGGAGGCTTCCTCTGTGATTGCTCGGCCGACTTGCTGCTGGACTCGGGAGCATCCTTGCCATGCTCCCCTTGCCGACCTGTTTTATTATTATTACTACTATTATGTACAAAATTTCTTAAATACCCGTGACGAATGAGCTCTTCAATCTCGTTGCGGAGGTTTTTACAATTTTCGGTGCTATGACTGTGATCTCTATGAAAGCTGCAATACAAATTCTTATTTCTTTCACTAGGGTTCCCTTTCAAACGGGGTGGCCACTTCACATACGGAGCGTACTTGATCGCCATCAGGATTTCGGCCCGCTTCGCGTTCAATGGGGTGTAATCAGTTCGGTCCTCTACTGGAGCTCGGAACAACTGTCCCGGCTTTGCCCCCCGAGCTACATCTTTTTTCTTTCGGCTGTCCGCTTGACTGGAAGGCTCTCCTTCCCTTTTCCTCTTTTCGGGTGCTCCTTCACCCTTCTGGTTGATCTCTTCCTTGGTGGCTATGAACCTGTCCGCGAGCTTAAGGAACTCGGTTATGGTCATTGGTTGATTGACGACCATGTGCCATTTGAACTCCTTATGCGTCACGCCTTTTTTGGCTACTGCGAGGCGCATGGCGGGGTCTAGGCGCTGCATACAAGCGTCGTTGAACCGCTTGATGTAACCCTGGATGGACTCTCCCTCTCTTTGTACTATGTTGAGGAGACTCTCTTCAGTTCTCGGACACCGCTTGCTAGTGACGAAATGGGACGCGAAGGCTTGTGCGAACTGCACCCAACTTCTTATCGACCCAGGTGCCAAGTTCCGGTACCACGTGCGGGCTGCTCCTCTAAAAGTAGTAGAGAAGGCCACACACATGCACGACTCGCTGGCTCTCGCCAGGTGCATCTGCGATTGGAAGGCATCTACGCGATCATTTGGGTCGAACGACCCGTCGTACTTGTCAAGAGGGGGGAGCTTGAAATCTTTAGGCATTGGGACTGCCAAGAGCTCGGGAGATAGGGGGATTGAACTGAGAGGATGAGAGCCTTGACCTCGTCCGAGCTTGCTTCTCCTTTGCCTCCAAGCTCGGACAGGTTGCGGGTAGCGGACCGGCGAGCTCGGCGGCGACGTCTCAGTTTCTTGGCGGGCTCGGCATTAGTACTGCTCGCCTCTGTGCTGTCTGGTATGGTGTGTGCAGGAAGTAGTTCGGGTCGCTGGTGATGACCACATACAGAAGGATCCTGCTTAGAGCCTGTGGCCAGAATCTCGAACCGATTCTCCAAGAATGGGGCCTCAGGCTTGGAGGGCTGAGACGATGCAGGCTTGGCGAGCTGGGGTCCTTCTGACCTGACCTCCCGTGGCGAGGCCGAAGTGGCTGGCCTTTCTTGTCTACCGCGGGTGGAGGTCTGGCTCCTTGGAGGGTTCCGGGGGGCCTTTCCTTGGCGAGGAAGGTGCTCTTGGCGATGGGACCCAGCCTGCTGTGAGGCTGGGTGCCGAGGAGGGAGTTGCGATTGCTGAAGCTAAGGTTGCGGTAGCTGGGGAAATTGCTGCTGATACTGGTACTGAGAGACTTGGTGTAGCACGTGCTGTTGGTAGATCTGGAACTGTTGAAACTGTTGCATTTGAGCTTGCATGGCCCGCATGCACTGCACCAAGTCTTCCAGCTGGTTCGGGCTGGCCGCAGGGGGCACAACCGAGGGTTTAGTGAAGGTTGTTCCGACTGCGGTAGGGAGTGGAGCAACGACGGGTGCCGCTACAAGAGGCACATCCAAACTAGGGATCTCGTCCGCTGAGAGGGGGACGGTGAACTGTCCAATACATACAATAGGAAGCGAGAGTTGCTCCCTAGAGTTATCCATCTCCGTGCTTCGTCCGATGTTGCTAGAGGAAGCCATGAGAGTTGAGTTTCTGGAGAGTAAAGAGACGTGAAAGTTTGGAGAAAGGCTTTTCGAAGCGTTTCCCACAGATGACGCCAAATGATGTAGCGCGATCCGGTCACTCCTAGCTGGCGCTCACGTGGCTCCTAGGAGGTACCTGAGATGAGAAAGAAGAAGAATCTCCGAGGAGTTTACCCAACGGAGATACTCCGATGCTTAAGTTAGTACTATGAAGGAGAAGCAAGAAGGATACGAAGGCTAAGAGTGCAGATAGCGCGATCTCACTATTCTTTAGAGATTAGGGATCTCCATAAGAAGTTTCTCTTCTGCCTTGAGGGCTTTTATAGGGACACTCACATTAGGTCGGGCATAACCACCACCGGGCTCCTGCCACAGCCGTTACCTGCCAGGGCTGCACAGGTGGCCGTTGTGGCGTATGCCTCGCCCAGGTGAGTGACACGTTTTCAAAGTGGTAGGCACGCCTTTACCTGCTGAGAGACGTGGATGCAGACTGTTGAAAGGACTGGGACTGCGCCGTCAGTAGAGGATATGGCACAGTATGACCGGTACGGTCTGTCAGTCAGAAACTTCCTGAAGAGTGTCAGTGCGGCTCGTTCGCGAGCTATTTTGTGACGAGCTTGAAACACTCCAGGATTACCCTTAGTGGAATTGGTCCTTGGAATGACTTGTCTGCTAGGGAGCTCGGGTGAGCTAATAACTTTAGCTCACGAGCTACAGTTGCCTCGGAGTATCTCTTCAAAGGTAGCACGGGGAGCCTGGAGTTTGGGTCGCGGCGGACTCCTCCCCTCGTGAGCTGTAACGTAGCGGACTGCTTCGTGGGCCCGTCACTTGGTCGCACCGGGCTTCAACGGGGCTGTCGCTCATGCCAAGTTAGCGTCTATGTGTCACCATTTCATAGGTTGGGTCAAATCATCCTTCATCAAGTCCCATGTTGGCAATTGCCACATAACCCTCCGATGACATGGCAAGGGTTTTTATAACTTGAAATGTAAAGCCATTTGTTAGGGTTTTGTTGGTTTATGGACCAACTTATATCCAAATTTTAAATGTATAGCCGGCTCCGACTATAATTTTCCCTAATTTAAAATAATCCAAAAGCAATGCTATTTTTTATCCATATGGTCTAGTGGGTCAATGATCCAACTTTTCAAAAAAAAAAAAAAAACACAAGATTTCATAATTGAATAATAAATATTTGAGTTAATCATATTCTTACATTTTTTTTTTTAATTTTCAATTTCTATCTTAACTATGATATATCTAAAATTCAAGTAATTAATATGAAGAAAAATTTCTCACGTGAAATGCATGTGCTTAATTACTAGTGATTGTAAATAAGTCATTTTAATGTAAAAAACCACAATTTAATGGTTTATATAAAGTGTGACATATCGGGATACAATTAGTAACCGTTGAAAAATGATGGAATAGCTAAAATGTAAACAAATAAAAAAATGTGAATGCCAATTTTCAAAAACCAATATAATTAATCTTAATATTTATTAGTATATAAATTTTAATAATTAATTCTAACATTTATTAATAAAAACCTCACTCATTAAGAAAAGTAAAAATTTACTTAAAATTTAAAATCCATATAATCAAGTAAACAAATATGTATGGCTCATTGGCAAACTTGTGGTTGTTAAAATCAAGTGACCAAGGTTTAAATCAAGTGGCTCATTGACACACTCGTACTAGATTGTTTTGGGCCCGAATCAGCTGATATAAATCCGAAACAACCTTGATACGGGATTGTATCGGCCGATACATATGGAAAGAAACAGAACAAATGATTTATACATTGTGATATTTTGAACCTTGTCCACACCTACCCATGGGACACTACAGTTGTACATTGGGCATCCTCAGGATGTTGTAAATTTTTTTTGGTAAAATCCAGATGTTGTAATTGGACCATTAAATTAAAGCCAAGTTTTTGATAGATAAAAGTAATCAACAACCGAAACAGGTAACAAGTTGTTCAATACAAGGGGGAGGGAACGAATAGTCACATAACCAAAAAGATTCCCAAAAACTCTAATTCATTTTTAGCCTTTTTATGAATTAATTAATACATTATTATATCATATTTATATACGTTGTAACATTTATGCAAATCGTGCTTTAATCCAGCTGAAGCTGAACACACCGAAACTTAGGCCAAGCTCGTTTCATTTTAACAGTCGGCTCATTTTATGTGCAGTATCAATTGCATCCAGAATTTAAAGGCATTTTCATATATTCCCTCCAAAAGCAATGAAAACGTGAAGAATGTAGACTTTGGCTAGTATTTTTATATCCAGATTAAAGTCATTAAACCACGAAATCGACTCATTGGCCGTTTCTTTTTTTTTTTTGGTATTATCTCTAATAGCCTTAGATGATGAAAAACCCCGTAACAAAATAATATCTCATATCACGAGATGTCAGACTCCATACAATAAACCACTACCCATGCATGAAACATGATGCATCCGACTTGCGAATTAAACAAGAGCTCCCAATTAAAAATAAAAGAGCAACTTGATAATCGATACATAAGAAAGAGATGTAGGGGGTAGGGGGGATTCTTGGCTCCATACCCCATAGGAGAGCTTTGACAATTTGACCAATCCACCCTGAATTTCACAACGGGGATGTTACTTCCCAATACAGGGCAGTACAGTTGTGCCTCATAGGTATAGGCTCGTTGGAACCGTCTGTGAATAGATCCCAAGATCTCCCTTGGAACCGCTTGTGAATAGATCTGACATGCATGAATTGCTCACCACTTTTAGATTTAAACTCCCATTAAGTGAAAGGCCGAGGTTTTACCTCAGCTTCAAGAGGTGTACAAACGCAAATAGCAATAACAAAAGACCGATTGGAAATGGGGCATCATTAAAGGTAGCCATATGAAAGAAGAAAGGTAAGACAATGAAATTCTCTGACATAAACAAGATCAAATCAAGAGCTAACACGACAGTGAACGAAAATCCAATGTATGCGAACTTTCCAATCAAATAAAACAAGATGCAGTAATAAAGTGAGAATTCAAAAGTCCAATTCATGAGGAAAATTCCTAGGAGATATTAAAACCATGAATCCATTGAGCAAACTTCTACCAAATAAAATTATTCAAAAGTCCTAAGCAGTTGATGGCAAAAATGCTCGTCCAGGTTGACGTTGCGCCAGAGGTCCATGACAACCAAGAAGCTGCAATTCAAAAGTGTTAAATTCCATTAACCATGTTAAACAAGGCAAGTAATAACCCCAACCCAATACTACATGATTAAAGTTGGGGCATTTGGTGATTGTAGTAGAGCTTTCTGTGTACTACATCTAATAGCATTCACTAACCACAATTACTGGTGGTGCAATTGCAATCAAGGTTCAAAATATCGATATGCCCGATATGCCGGTAAGGTTGTATCAGGCGATATCAATAGTATTTCATCCCCTTGATTGCAAAAGACGAAATAAAGAAACGAAAAAGAATGATGCAGAAAACAGACCTTGGCATTAACACCATCTGGCATAATCCGGTTCTCTGACTTCCACTTAAGATAATCAGTACGACTAAACTTGGTGAAACCCCTGAAACGACCATGGACATTAACATAGAAAGTTAATCCTGAAACTTACAGAAATTCATGTATGAGAAAGCATAATACTCTTGTTAAAGTTGAAGCGTCTAACGATAGGACTTGGTCAATCATCAAGAACAGCAGCAAATCAGGTTGCCATCAATATTCATTTTTCACACCTTTTCTACCATAGGCCAGTAATTTCACAAAATCTTGAATCAACAGAAACTTCAATAAACCAATCTATGTAATATGCAAAGTACATGTGATAAGTGGCATAAAACGCAGATTGGCAACATGGAAGGAAGGAGGCAGAATTTTCTTTGTAGGATGTAATATCAAATAATCGGACAAAGTTTATCACACAACCAGAGCTTTTCAAACCAGTTTCCAGGTTGAAAACTCTACCATCAGAAGAGGAAAAGGGAGAACAGAGGAGGTGAAAGGTAAACCTCAACTTGCATCAAAACCAAAATGCCATAGACTAGCGAGAAAAAAAAAACTGTCATTGACTCTATTCTGAGAAGCTGTTCATGCCCAAGAAGGTAGCATTTAATGATAAGATGAGGGAAATAAAACTAAACTTTGATGATTAACACATCCATGCCCACCAGAAGTGGGTGTGACTGTCTGTTGGTCACCAACAAGACAATCTAGGGGGTCTCTTTGGTTACATTAATAAATTAATATGAAAAATTGAAAATTTCTGGTAAATGATCAACATGTAGGTCATTTTTTTCTTCTTTCTCTTGTAAGCTTAAAAGAAAATCTAACAAACAGAAAATGTAGATCAGATCCAGGCCTGCAAAATCAAAGCAAGAAAGCATCATAGCAAGCAAACATGAAGATCAATTTAATCTCTGTGCACCTTACCATGCTTCCTTCATTTAACAAATCCAGAGCATCGGCTTATTGTACACAGGTTTAACTCACATTCATATAAACATTCATTTAAAGAGAACATATGCACAAAAGTTCTATTGTTTTGTTTCAAAATTTGAGAAAGAAGGTTGGACTAGGGGGGAGGGGACAGGAAACCCTAACAAAGAAAATGGGGAGACCAAACAAGAAAAATAAAGATAGAAAACCTAAAGCTTACCCAGCCAAATACACTACAACTCTAGATCAGATTAACAGAAAGAATAACCATCTACATTTCTTTTCTTTATTTGTTTATCTTAGGTGGATCAGGGGAACACAGTTCACATTTAGCAGTCCAAGAAGATAAGCAGAAATCTCGTTCTATCCAAATATGAGGAAGAAAAGGGTAAAAAATGATCAGTGCATATAAAACTATCCTAGTATTCTATATTCTTTTCTTTTATCTTGGGATGGCAAGTGTGAGAATGCAGGTTCAAGTCTGAGAGACGCAACTTCAATCAAAAAATGTCAAAGGTTAGTACAGTATCCAGTCTACCCACTCCAAGACCCCAGATAGTTAGGACCACCATTGGAAAATGACCTTTTTATTTAATTTGTGGCATTGGAGAGTCTGATCAGGCTAACCATTTTCCTTTCCAACTTCCAGGCTTGAGATAAAGGATGAAGTCCAAATTCAAGAAATTTTATTTGTGACCTCGTAAGGAGGATATCCATGTTATTGTATTTGTGTGTATGCATGAATATTTTTTTGGTAGATGTGCACACGAATGATTAGCATTGCTTAGAGGCCCTAATAACATTTTACTTAAGGCATACCACTTCCTGCTGACAATGATCTTTTGGCGACCAGGAAACTTGAACTTGGCACGGCGAAGGGCCTCCTGTGCATGATTGCCATTGCCATCTTTGCAGCGGACAGACAAGAGAACCTGACCAATGCTCACTCTTGCACAAGTACCCTGTGGCTTCCCAAATGCACCCCTCATTCCAGTCTGGAGCCTATCAGCTCCAGCACATGAAAGCATCTTGTTGATACGCAGAACATGGAATGGATGCACTCTGACTCTCAAATGGAAAGCATCTTTTCCAGCAAATTTGGTCATATATTTGTTGCAAGCAATCCGAGCAGCCTCGAGAGCCTCACTTGAAACATTCTCCTTTTCCCAACTCACCAGGTGGACACAGAATGGGAACTCATCGACTCCCTTCCTCTTCATTCCAACGTCATAGATCCTGATCTTTGGGTCAGGAACACCACGACAATATCGTGATTTTGGGTATGGCTTGTTTTTTATTTGACGATAACACCTTGCTGGTCCTACATTTGCAAACATAAGATAACTCATCAAATTGTCAAATTGCAATCACCCATTTATTCCATGCAAACACAAAAAATACTGTAGTATGTTCTGACAAAATCAACATAGATGCTTAATAAATATATAACCAGAAAAGATAAAAACAAAGCAGATAAAATATTGAAGTAACAATGTCTTTCCTAACAAGTTATCAAAGATCGTATGTTACAAGTATACTCTCAGATACAGCATCATGGTTCAAGTCAATAAAATCTCAAAGGAAAGAAATCAAATGACATTATCATGTTCTTCTTGAGAACAATGAAGATAAATGGTAGAGTAATCAGCTTGAAAAAGGAGAAAAAAAGAAAGAAAGAAAATCAAATGAGGAATACAAGTATAGATAAGCTTCCATCATGATTTGATCATTTGCAAACTTCCTCCATGTGACAAGAACTCTAACGGAATCCAGAGTAAAAATAAATAAATAACAAATATAAGTTAGAGAACAATCCACTATTAAAAAAATCTGACTAGTGCATTACTTCACCCAACTACACATTCTCCATGTAACAAAAACTCTAACGGAATCCAGAGTAAAAATAAATAAATAACAAATATAAATTAGAACAATCCACTATTAAAAAATCTGACTAGTAGCCTGTGTTGATATTTCAACTTCACTTTGCTAAAATCTTGCTTAACAATCCCAATATACCTTATAGGACATCTGACTATCTGAGGAATGCCATGGAACATAAGATCAAAGACTGTTCTATGTCAAGTGCATTTTATTGCTTCTCCCAACTACGCAGTCTTCCATAAACATTCATGGAATAATATTACCAAAATGGTCAGCCTTATAAGGGACACCACATAAAAACTAATGCTTAGCATATTAGCAATAGTAAATCTCCCTTGTAAAGTGAGAAGCAACCTACATACCCCATTAGCTAACCTTACCAAAATAAGTTAGCAAATACTCCTACTCCTTTCCGACTTCAGAGTAACACCTGATGGTTAGTTTAAAACAAATCTACAAGACATGCTAAGACTATAAATACATCAATCTTAAGCTTTGAGGTCCCCAATAACGGGAGCCTAATGCTTAGCTTATGACACCCATTTGATAAGCCTGCTTTGTCTTAAGAAACAAATTTGTTATGCTCTTTTTGCGTTAAGTCAAGAGATCATATCTATGATATAAACCTACTTCCAAAACAATGGAAATCTGCGTGTCCGCAAAATAATCAACTCAGAAGTAGAACCTCAGGCAGAGAGGAGCCTTTGGCTAAGTTACAGATCAAAAGAGAAAACAAAAAAGACAAAGAAATCGAGAACAATAACTAGTTATCAAATTTAAGCATCCAAATCTCATAAACAAATTCACAGAGGACAAACAGAGCACAAGACGTATGTAAGTCTCACAAGGACGAGAACAATATTCTAACTTACTTCTCCCCATTGCGAGCTCTCTCCGTCGGCGAGGTTTTCCAACGGATGGAGATGTACTGCGAGTATGCGACTGCGAATGCCAAACCCTAGTTATCGGGCTATATATAGCGGAAAGAAATGGCGATTCTCACAAATGCTAATGTTACACATGTCAAAAAGGAATATTACAGAAAACGACCCTATACTCAGGGGAATAAACACTTAGGCCCCCAAACTTTGTTTTACGATAAAAAAACCCCCGGCGCTTTGCCGCTGCTACTTTGTTAGCGTAACAGGTGGAAGTAAAATTGTAAAATTGACCACTGACATTAATAAAATTAGGGCTGAAACCTCCTTGAAGCTTATGGTAGCCGCCTAAAACCTCAACTAAAGTTTGGCAATTGCAACCACTTTTCCTGATTTTTTTTGGCTTCATGGGGCTACGCCTGGTGGCAGTGGGATTTGATCCCAAGTCTCTACCTTGACGAGTGAGAGAACCTACCAACTGAGTCATCGTCAATTGGTCTTTCCTTGAATTTTTTGATATAGTTGTAAGTAGACCTTTTTTGTTAGAATACCCTAAAGAGGTATAAAAATATTAAAAATATCCATCTAGTTATTTTTGACCAAAATGTTTATTTTTCAATTTTTTTCTTCATGTGAATCACTATCTCAAACCCTTCCAATCTTTTCTTTTTTGAAATTTATTTATTCTCTAAATTTGCCCTTCATATCAATCATTCAAAGGTAAAGTTATAACAATAAATTCTCCTTTTTGTTTATAAAATTTGTATTGTTTTTTAGTAGAAACTAATTTGAATAATAACTGCATTGGTATTTTGGACATTTTCATGCCTCTTATTTGAAGATTCTAATAAAAGGGGTTTACTTGCAACTATGTCATAAAGTTTAGGAAAGGTGATTACAATTACCAAACTTCAGGGGAGGTCTCAACAATAATAAAAAATTTTAGGAGAGGTTTCAATAATTTACCCATAAAATTATTAAATTGTCCATTTGACAAATATTGACTAATAATAACAAATAGGGTAAAAGACTTAAACCTCCCTTGATCACTGAATAATGAAATATCCTCACTTCTTAAATTGGACTTAGAACTCCCCACTTAATTTTTTAAATCATTATATCTAACAAAGAAAGCAAATGACTAATATACTTCAAGTTATTTTTGGGATTACATTGATATGTAATTAATTCAAAGAAAAAAAGAGACATCATCTTCAACCTTGGAACAGTGAATATGACTGTTGTTCATATAACCGTTGTATCCAATTGTTGCCAATGGAGCACTGGTAACATCTCACAATGGCATTTTTCTTCTCTCTGAAAACCAATGTTCATCTTGTGATCAAATAAAAAAATAATGGTGCTTTAATTTTCTGTTAAGCAATCTTTTGTTATAAAAATATTGTTACTTCAAGAAGCATCAATTTTGCTCCAACATTCATTAATCCTTGGGCTTCTTGTGTGACTGTCCCTTTTCATCTCTTATGTTGTCGTTGTTGATGGTTTTAGTAGTAAATGGTGTTGTCATTGCAAAGACTGATGGCTTCCTCTCAAATGGATGAAATGCACCTCCACTTTTTCTTCGTCTTACGATTGATGGCTTTGGGTTTGGTTTTTGTTGCATAACACTTTGAAACGCCATTGTAATGGTGAGTTGGACGCCGACAACCAAAATCTATTCAAGATTGCCTTTACTTGGTAAGGGAGGTTTTTTTTTTTTTTTTTTTTTTCCACATAAGACAACCAAATATACAAAGAGGTAATAGAGGGCAAAAATGGAATTAAAAAAATAAAGTGCACATGATGTCACATTCTAATAGACACGGACAGAGAATTAAAGGATGGGAGGTTTTCTCCGCTAAGGGAGGTTTAAGTCCATTTTGAAAAAATGAGGAGATGTTTTAGTATTGGGTTTTTTTTGCATAAAAAAAATAACAAAGTTTGTTGAATTGGCAAAATCAAATACATTTCAAAGTAAATTGTAAAAGCAAATAGTGGGAAGAAAAAAGTCTTTATTGGGACCAAATTGCCCCTTATTTAAAAGCCCCTACTCTCACTCACTCTCTCTTATCTTCGTCCCACTCTTCTCTCTATTTCCTACACCTCTCTCCCCCAATCTCCTATCTATCTTCCCATAAACAAAGCTACTTCATGTCTCTGTTGGTCCATGCCTAAATTGGTTCTTAGAGCATCTCTATATGCTCAAAGGACCATTTTATTTGAAATAACATGTTTCACTGTTGAGAGAGAGAGAGAGAGGATAAGAGAAGGGAGGGACTTCAGAGGGAAAATGAACTCTGGTTGCCACCACTGTGTTTTCATTTCAAGGTGGAAGGTGATGAAAGTGGATTTTCATGTAAAAATTGTTGCACGTAATAAAAAATCGCACAAAGATGAGACAATTGTCACTATGTCATTGAGTTAGTAGGAAGGGCAGCGAAATGTGGTATCAAGTAAAGACAATCTGCTTCAAAGACCAAATTGGAAAAACCACATTTATTTGCAAACATGGTATACATTTTGCCATGTGTGCATCTTATTGTGATTATATCACATGTGGTAAGGCCGCATACATTTATACCTTTCTGTATTTTGTGAAAATCATATTTTGTCAAGAGTGTGTGGTTATAGTATTGAGTAATTCAGAATGACTTTTTGTTGTTTGTTGCAGATTTGTTTTTGCTTTTAAGGAATCTACTTCTAAAAGCATTTTTAACCAAACTTCAAATCTCTCTCTCTCTCTTTATTTTTTTTTGTTGTCCAAGCACAAAAGTACTTTTTCTCTTTCCACATACTTGCAGAAATTCGTTGATGCGTCTACATAAAATTGCATTAAACCATGATCATCTGTGACAGAAAGAGGTGAAGAGAAGCAATTTGCTACCGATGAAGTTTAATGGTCACTGTGAAGACAAAAGTTTCATCCTAAACTTTACGTTGGTTTATGCTATATTTTTACTAAAGAATCATATTCAAGTTTCAGACAAATTCTTTCTACCAAAAAAAAGTTACATACAAATCGTTTTCTATTCATACAAATGCTGTATTTTAATTTATAAATACCATTCAGTATCTAATTGCAATCCAAATTTGATTCTATCAAAAGTTAACACAAATCCAACATCTAAAGTTCAATTTGAATCCAACCGTTAAAAATCAAATTTGGATCTAGGTATATTAAATTCGATCCATTTGAAACCCTATTGGAGTGAGGTTGACTTAGTTGTAAATTCTACAAATCTAATTACCCTATAAAATAAGTAGCATGCACAAGGCAATTAGTTGCATTTTGATTTCTCATAGGACAGTTTAGCCCAACTAATTCAAGATTATTAGTATAGTATATTGGTTCTCTTCGAAAATCACACTTTAAGTAAATAATACATTAGATGCCATGTTGTTTATTACTATATTCATTGATTTTCCCCACATAATTGTAAAATTACAATTCTACCCTCAATGTAGTAGTACGTTAAAACGCAATCACATAGTAGGGGAGGACTTGTAATCAAATAAAAGTAAATACGACAACCACTTCCATCATCTAGGCGTAATGGAAGGGATAACTCCACTGACAAGGTCACTACCGGAGACATCTGATGACACGTATGTGTTCTTCATTGACGAGGATGAAAACGGTGGAGTCGCTGCCTTTAGAGGATTGGAAACTGCAGGTTCTGTTGGCGTTTTGTCTGCGTCTGGCATCTTGCGCAACATGTTCTCAAGTTCTCTAACCACATCCGCCATTGAAGGTCGAGATTCGGTCTCATCTTGGCAACACTTAAGGGCCAAAGTTAAAAACTTCTCGATGCACTCAGAAGGATAAGATCCCATGCGTCCATCTACAACCGATAAGATCATACCCGATTGATATGCCATGCTGACCTGAGATTGAACAACGAAAAGCAAACCTTAATGTCGTATTCAAAAACTATACATGATGCAAGCATAAAATGATCAACTTTTTTCATTTTCATTTAACACATGCATAGAGAAAGTCAGTAGTATGGCCATTTCCAGGTTATATAGCTCTGGCCATTTGGGGTCATGGCTGGGGTAGAATGAACATGGATCTGATCTCTGGTATTGTTAGCTGAAGCCTGAAGCGGCTGCTCTCAGACTCGAACCCCTGCTTTCATACCTGTCAGCCAGAGATTTTACCATCCAACCAAATAATGGTCCCCAAAATGGGATACTCTGATGTTTTACAACAAGGTCATAAATGGTGTTTTAAGACTCGGAGCAGCATCAAAACTACATTTGACTTGCCCACCTGGCTATTTAAACGTGCAGACCATTCAATCCACTCAGTCAACTGCTGAACCAAACCTGAAATGTAAATCTACTTTATTTTTTTAAGATCATTTGACATCAATTGGTTGAACAGGACTGGCATACTCTTCAGATCATGTCAGGCCTATACACTCTTCTACAGGTAGCCTGGTAGGATCAACCGGATCAACCCCCAGTCTGAGTTTTGGGCCACTTGTTTCTGGGCCAAAGCAGAACCATTGACACAATAACAATGGAATATTTGCCAAAAAATGGCCTCGATTGAGTATAGGGATGTTATTCACGGGTCCGCACGGATCCAATTCAGTAGTCCCTTAGGGTCGATCTGAGCCAAAGTTGGGTTATTTACATCTCTAACTAGGGCCAACAATTCAATGGCCTCGAATTAGAGAAATCAGCACTATAAGCCATATCAAAACAAGCATTATAAGTCAGTCAAAACCACTTCATTTACTTCTCTCTGTAAAGAGAAACCTAGATAACAACATAAATCCTAAGCATTAAATGTTCTGTCTGCCAATTTTGACTTTGACCATGAAATCTCATGGATGAGTTCACAGTGTGGCGGTTCTTGAAAATATGGGCCAAACATCTGTATGGCTACTGTATAACATCCTAATTTAACTCTCGAAGAGGTAGTATAAGGTGATACCTCTCGAACAATGTTTTTGCCATGAGAAATTGGCTGCATCCCCGTCAAGAGCTCTAGGAAAACAACTCCGAGGCTATAAACATCACTTTTATCTGTCAATTTATGGGTCAAGAAATATTCTGGGTCAAGGTAGCCCTGCAAAAATGCACACAAGGTTCATTAAACATCATTTATTCAGTGAAACTAAGTTTAAGTACTTATTTTAGCTTCTCCATGTTTGAGAAGCTTAATATTCAATCTTATTTTTTACTTTCCATATGGCATAGATTTTTCCATTCTCAAAAGAAGATTCAGTCCAGCTCTTGCTCTGCCCTGAAGGAATCAATTTGCCCCAGATTTTTTATTTTTAATTTTTTCCCTTGAGAGTAGGATGCAAAGATCAAGACTAGGGAATTGAACCATAGTGGCAGAAAGGTCTCCTTCTGGATGTGGTTTGATTATCAGTGCAATCATAAGCATATAAAAGAATGTCACTAATGCAGAAAGGTGAACTTGAAAAGCGAGGTCAATTCAGTTTATATATAATTTGGTTGTAAATAAAAAGAAATTTATTAGACTGAAAAAAGAGTACAACAGGTAACAAGATATCACTCAAAAGCTTAACTAAAATATTTTTGAAGAGGTATTTCAGAGGACTTAAATATAATATTACCTGCAATGATGCAAGGGTAGGGCTACTGTCACTGAACTAATATTAAAGAGGAAATAGTATCTCAAAGAATGACTTTCTATAGACCAGAAAGGTTTTGTTACAGTTAACTTATGCCCCCTTTTACAATAGTTGGTTAGAACCACATAAATCTACTTTTTCAGTGGGTCAAAACAGAAATTTTACTCTAAAGTTTATGCTAGTCCTTTGATGATCACTTTTGGCAACCTTTATGAAATGCATAAATTGTTTGCTAGTTCATAGAATTGAAATAAAAGAGGAAAATCAGTTCTTAGGTCTGACTAAACTTCTAAATGCTCATAATGATGATGGTAAAATGTCAGCGGCACCAAAGCAAGTTAAAGGGTGAATTAGATGACTGTTATAATTGGGTAACCATGCCTACCGGAGTTCCCTTTACAACTGTGGATACATGACCAGGCACAATTCCTTCAATATCTGGAGCTGGGGCAAGTCGTGAAAGACCAAAATCAGCAACCTTGGCAGTAAATTTGGAGTCTAATAATATGTTGCTGGCTTTGATATCTCTATGAAATATTGGTGGATCTGCTTCTGTATGGAGGTAGAGAATGCCCTTGGCTGAACCCAATGCAATTTGCAACCTTGTTGCAAAACTCAGAGGTTCTTTTGTTTTACCTGTGACAGCAGAAAAGCACAACTGAGTTAATTCTTCTGTACACAGTATGGACATAAGTTGAAATGATTTCACATGTTGGCTAAGGAAACCTTAACTTTAGGGGACTAATTCCAGCATTTTAGCACATTTCTAGCCGGTTAATGTAAAAATAGCCCCAAACCTGGCACCCCATCCTTTTCTCTTAGCTTTCTCCCTCTATGGACAAACACACAGTACGCTCCAAATCTTTGAGATTTTCAAATTTGGCACTCCAATATTTGGTTCAACTTGCCCACCACTCTATAATATGGTTAAAAGGATGACCTTATATAAGTCAACATCCAGAGGTGAAGACTGATATAAGGTTTTGAAGTTTGACTGGTCAAATCAGTAAGTACTTTTCTCTACATACTAGTGCAAACAAAGAGGTCCATTGATGATATTGATATTTTTTTGGGCTAAAATATAGAGATGAAAATTCATGTAAGGAACAACTAACCAAGGATTCATCATAACCTAGAGTTTAGGATGAAAGAGTAGGGGGGGGGGATTCTGATTCCTATTTCACAGCCTATGTCTAGAACCATGTAACTGAAACTTCATCTCTTTCTTATTTAAAGTGCTGAGTTCACTAAATGTAATATGGCTATATCATATACCTTGTATTCTGTGAAGATGTAATGGTAGTCTTTGTATTATGCTGTGTTATATCTCATGTAAAAACATCTGTAGTTAATTTTGTGGGCTAATGGGATATTAAGTGGTGGTAGTCTTTTCATTAAGCAGAGTTGTACCTTAGGTAAAACATCTGTAGTTAACTTCGTGGGCTAGTGGGATATTAAGCAATGTTTAAACCCAGATGGTCAAACCAGAAAGCTGGATATATTGTGGATTGAACAGTTTAACCAGGGAAGAAAAAGAGCCCTAAAAGACCTATAAAAAGGCCACTACCAATGTCGATCCAGCTATCTGGGGTCTTGGGAGGGGTAGACTGGATATGGTCCTAACCATTGGCATTTTTTGCACAAAGTGGCTGTTCTCATGCTTTCCAGCCTGAGATTTTACCATTAACCAAGTAATGGCCCCTACGTTCTAAAAGACCTATGGGAAAGAAATTAAAGGAGTTGACTTGAAGCAGTGAGAAAACCTGAAGATTCACAACAAAAAGATATGACCCTTCATTGAGTGGAATGGTTAAACAGGGTTCTTTACCCAATCCCAAAAAGTTGGAACAAGGCTTTGTGAGTTGAATTATGCCAAAAAGTGAGCATTTAAAGGATAAACCTAAATGAAACAGGAATCTTACATATCACTACATGGGTGGGGGCCTAAAAGGGTTGCACATGTTCTCTTTTCCATCCTCTACTCATGGTGCAAGTTTTGGCACGAAAGCCCCAACAACAAAGCTCCTTTTTCCATCCACTCTTCATTTGTGACACAAGTTCTTGACATGGTGATGCACACCATTGCTAAGGATTTGGAAGGGCAGCCTCATCTTGTACTTTCAAGAGAGCAGGGCATTATTTCTGATGTGGGTTCTCAGGCCTAGATAAATGCTAACCTTGATAGCTGAGAAGAACTGACATAGTTGAAGAGGTATCTGATACCTTAAAGTGACAATTAGCAAGAAACTGAGATCTTTTTCTTGGGGATGACTCTTCAGTCAAGCAATCTTTTGCGCTATGTTAGATGAGAAGGAGCAGCTTGAACAAATACACAAGGAGAATGACCTGCATCTTATGCAGGAGAAGGGGTAAGGAACGAACAGTAGAATCTATAGCTAGTGGGGAGAAAGAAAACAGTGAAGCTTTTGTTGGTATAGCCATATAGAGACTTCCAGATAGACTGCAAGACTTTATTAAGAAGGAAGAGGGGAAAAGGGAGAGGTAACGACTGTTCTACAAGAGGAAGAGGTTGGATGACACAGAAACCAGCCTATACAGTCAGGCAATTGCTCCTTCCTGCTATAGATATAGTTTCTCTTGTCTCATCAGACATTGATATAATTCTTTTTACTCCTTCCTTTTTTGTAACTTGTCTTTATTTTTCTCTTCTCATATTTTTTATCTTTAAAGTCATTTTTTATTAATTTGATCCTTGATGTACAGATTTTATTTTTTTACAGACAAAGTTCAGGATGGTGGAGGATGGTTTCATGTGGGTGTTAACCAATGTTATGGGCCGAATAATTATAGAGAGCGAAATGAACTATGGGAAGAGCTCTATGGAATTCAAGGATTATGGGAAGGCCCTTGGTGCTTGGGTGGAGACTTCAACGTAATAAGATTTCTAAATGAGTCAAACAATCCCCAACAATCTATCACAACTAACATGAGGAGGTTCAATGAATTTATCAATAGTTGTAATTTGAAAGAGATCCCTATGCTACAGGCCAACTTCACTTGGTCTAATTTCTAGGAGAAACCATCTTGTTCAAAACTAGATAGATTCCTATTCAATGAAAGCTGGGAAGCACACTGGAGGGGTTTGGTGGCTAAAGCTCTCTGCCTAGAGTTACCTCAGATCACTGTCCTATAGAGCTAGGCCAAGAGACTTTTGGGCTTGGACCTAAACCCTTTAGGTTCAAGAACATGTGGTTGACACACCCGGATTTTGTGCATAAAGTTGAGGAGTGGTGGAGATAAGAGATTAGGAGAGTGAAGTGGAAAGGGATTAGATTCCACAAGAAATTAAGAAGTCTGAGATCCAAAATTAAGATTAGAATAGGGAGGAATTTGGTAGATTGGAAGAGCTAAAAGCCAGATTGTCAGCCCAAATTGAGGATTTAGAATCAAAGGAGTATTAAAGGATCATGAGTGCACAAGAAAGAGAATTGAGATGGAAGTTGAAAGATTTGGAAGAGGTCCTGGTTAGGGAGGAGATATCTTGGAGGCAAAAATCTAAGCATAAATGGATCAAAGAAGGGGATGGGAATACCAAGTTCTTTCATGGTATGGCTAATGGGAGAAGGAGAGAAAATTTTGTGGCCAAGCTTGAGGTTGAAGGAGTGGAAATTGAGTCCCAAGAGGATATAGCCAATTGCTTTGCAACTCACTTCAAATCCATTTCGAGTAGGCCCTTGGAGAGACGGGTGAGAGTGGAAGATCCGGATTGGCCAAGTCTATGCCGTTGAGACGGGTTGGCTGGAAAGGAAATTTGAAGAGGAGATCTGGATTGACCAAGGTGTTTTCTCTATGGACATGTCAAAGGCTCTTGGACCAGATGATTTTACTATGGCTTTCTATCAAGAGTGTTGGGACACTATCAAAGAAGATTTGTTTGAGGTTTTTAGGGAGTTTGAAAACAACCATGTGATTAGTCGTGGAGTTAATGGCACATTCTTAGCTCTCATCCCAAAGAGATTAGATGCCAAACACCCTAAAAATTTTAGGCCAATTAGTTTGGTGACTAGTGTCTATAAGATTGTAGCAAAAGTGCTTTCTTTAAGGATTAAAAAGGTCCTTCCCTCTCTCATTACTCAAGCCCAAGGAGCTTTTGTACAAGATAAGCAGATTGTAGACCTGATTCTTATAGCAAATGAATGTGTGAAGGAAATGAAGAGCTCAGACAATCAAGGTTTCATTTGTAAGTTGGACATTGAGAAGGCCTATGACTCAATGGGTTGGAATTTTCTATTAGAAGTGTTAAGAAAATGTGGATTTGGGGATAGATGGTGGAGGTGGGTGAGTGGATGCATAACCTCTTGTCAATTTTCAGTTCTAGTTAATGGGGGTCAAGGAATTTTTTCCCAGCATGTAGAGGACTTAGGCAAGGAGATCCTCTTTCACCTTTCTTGTTCACACTTGTGGTAGATGTGTTTAGTAGAATGATTTCTAAAGAAGATAGGAAAGGGCTGATAAGTGGGTGGAGGATAGGCAAGAATAATGTCCTGGTGACTCATCTTCAGTTTGCTAATGATATTATCATTTTTTGTGAAGGGGGAGACTTGGGGAGAGTGAGAAACCTGAAAGATCTTATTAAATCCCTTGAGTCTGCTTCAAACCTGATAGTTAACTTTGACAAATTGTGTTGTTGGAATCAATTTGGAAGGTTGGGAGACAAAGGCTATAGCAGATTGTCTATAGTGTTCTATGTTTGATTGGCCTTTAACCTACTTGGGTATTCCATTAGGAGCTAACCCAAAAGAATGTTGGTTTTGGTATCCAATTGTGGAAAAGTTCAAAAAGAGGTTGGCTTCTCGGAAGAAAAGTTACATTTCGATAGGGGGTAGAGTGACCTTGATTAGAGTGACTCTTGCCAGTGTTCTGGTTTATTTTCTCTCGGTGTTCAGAATACCTTCAAGGGAATCTAAGAAGCTAGAAAAGGTGATGAGGGACTTCTTGTGGGAGCCAAGGGAAGAGAAGAAGGATCATCTGATTAGGTGGGAGATAGTCAACAGAACTAAGGAAGAAGGGGGATTAGGAATAGGTAACCTAGTTCTTAAGAACAAAGCTTTATTAGGGAAGTGGCTTTGGAGATGGCCGTTGGAGAGAGAGAGGTTGTGGCACAAGGTGGTGAATAGTATTCATGGTTGTTCGTGTGAGAATTTGAGAGAAAAAATGAATTGATTGTATTGTCTTGGAAGGAGCATATACATAGCTTTATATAGAATTACAGAGCTAACTTACAGGGCGATAAAATAGGAAACTAACTTTTCCTAGAAAACTAATTTCTATATCAGTGGGATTCTCCAATTAATATCCCATGATTCTAGGAAACTAACTTATGTATGATTCCTAAACTGATGGACCTAAAATTGGAGAATCAATCAGAGAGTCAATCTTCTACTTTCCAACACTCCCCCTCAAGCTGGTGAATATGCATCTTTCATTCCCAGCTTGGAGATAAGTCCTTGGAATGCCACACTGCAAAGCCCTTTTG